ATCAACTTGGAGATCGAGTAACCGAGTTGTGTCCAAGTCCGCCTTGGTGGATGTTCGAGTAAGAGCCCCTAGTACTGGCGGACCAGTAGTCGACAGTCATGCCTTTAACGGGAGAACCTGCGTTGACGTTGATAAACTGAATTATCATGTACAGCGGCACGCCCTCTTAATCTAGGTTCCCTCACGATAGAGCGGGTCATCTCCTCAGTAGGTACCTTAACGTAAGGTAGTAAGGGTTGTTGGTAGTACGGGGGCCAGATCACAAGACTGGTTTCCGGTAGACAGCGCGGAATATTATATTCAAAAAGTGATTACGTTCACGTTGGATTAATGAGAAGTTTGCCCTTATACAGATCGCGGCCAGTCGCGCCTCACTTACGTATGCCAGTCGTCAGAGCGTGACGTTATCGAGCTTGTGCACCAACGATTCCACGTTTCTCCAGAGACAAGCTGCAGGAGTTGGCCCTAGCAGAGCCGGGTGGTCTTTTATGAAGGAAAAAAGAAGACATCAGTTGTGCCGATGGAAGCGGCGAAGTTGATGCTGATTTTTCATGGTCTATGCCTTCGGTTGAAAATGATCTGATATACATGATTGATGCTACGCAGATTCCATACGCCCAAGTGCTTCAATAGGGAACTAAAGCTCCGAACGGGAAAATATTGTGAATCTGATTGCGCGGCTATCGCGGCTCTTTGCCGGGATTGGGGTCCATGTATGTCAAGGAGCAGCGCGGAACTCGGGTTCGCTGACGTTGACCCGAGATGTTCGGACACAATTTAACCCACGGAAAACCAGGGTTTGTATCGGATGGCTCATACCACCCGCTTCTTATAAATCATGCCGGCAATTTGTAAATGCCAAGATGTCGCATTCGCAATTGAAGATATCCAATTTGCGAGGGCCCCTCTTAGCGCGGAGGTCTCCTGTAGTACGGTGTTTGCAGTGTGTGTGGTCAACGGGGGCACGTAGATCGCGTATGTACACAGATCCGCTACTCATCGGGCTGGCTTTGACATAATAATAACGCATATGTTCCTCCGTCCCTTGCGGCCTACTTAAATGATGAAGATGCCAATGGGAAAGCATCGATTACGGGAATCTTTAGAACTTTTAGCTGGGCTACATGGCGTTTATGGGCTAACGCTTTAGGATAGCTTCCTTACAGCCTCCTCGTTGAAAGCTCTTGCCTCTGTTTCCCGTGATTCCAAGCCGCAACTTCCCGATGGGTCTGGGTACCTCACAACCAACTTAAACGTACTCCGCGCAGATAATATCTCCGCCGATATCCATCACGTCGCCTACAGTGACGTTGGGAAGCATCTCATACAGGGACAGAACATGGGTCAAAGTTGTGACATTAGCAGGGTCGCCGCTGTAGTCCGTGAAGTTGGCGCCCGGCGCTTCCCAGTTGTTCTGAAGGTTGAATGAGTCGGATGGGGTATTCTGGCCACTGATATCCGTCAGACGGGCAGTCAAATTCATTGACTGCCATTCCCACCAGAGACGATCCAGGTTGTTGTGGTGCAAGAAGAAAATGGGGTCCCCAGGGGATAAGACAGGATCTTGCATCTGTGGAGCAAGTTAGCAATCCCGAGACCATGGATTTCGATCTCCCAGAAGACGGTACTCACAACACCACCGGTGCCTGCATGGCCAGCTGAGTGGGGAGCCTGTCCTAGGCAATCCCAGTAGTCCTTATAAACTTCTGCCTCGTTGCACTCATCCACGCTGGATTGACTTGCTAGCTGAAAGATAGATTCGCTGATCGAACGGTTCAAGTAGTATGTGGCAGCCTTGGGAATGACGGTATTGAAGGAGTAAGCTCCGACATGGAATTCCGTGTAAGCGAAAGGACCATCCGTCACGATATTGCTCTCGGAAGAATTGCCGTCACCGCCAACGCCGTAAACCAAATCCCACACAGCAGACTGAGTGACGTTGTCTGCGTCGACTTGCAAGTCCCAGTAAGGCATTCCACCGGTGTAGTTGCAGTAAGTCTGTAAGAGATACTCATGGAGCTTCACGTAGTACCGATGCCAAGGCAAAAATTGTCCCTTTCTTCAGTCAGATTGATAATTGATGCGATCGCATCTTGAAGAGCCTTACCACTCCGTGAATATAGTTTGACATGGTCAAATGCAGATATTGCTGCTCGTCCCACAGGGTGGTGGCGGCATCGAATAGCCCAAACACGGCATCGTGAGTAGTGAGACACTTCTCAGCGTCTACCCAAGCCAACTTTTCTTCGTTTGAGAGAGATGTAAAGTTCTTCCGCTGAACAGGAGAGTCGCAAGTGGTTGCGGTAACGACTGTGCCAAACGCCAAGAAGGCTAGCCGGGATATGACAGGGGTCTTCATAGCGCTGGGAACGAATGACTTGGAGAAAGCAGATACTCAAACAAAACAGTGCAAGCACGATAATGACGGTGTAATTGTGGATGCAACAAGTGATGGTGGCACCCTCGACGTGGGAAAAATGGTTTTTTTAATGGTTCGCATCACGAGGTTTTATCACCATTTAGACACCCCCAAGATGCTATTCCGAAATTGGGATGCTCTGCAATGCCCCCTGGTACGGAAGTCGGTTTCCACATCCCGTTCACGACACGCGTTCAGCCAAGACTAAACTTCGTCAGCGTAGCCCCTTTAACGAACACGTTTATTCGTTCTGTATTCATCTCGCATCCGTGTTGCTTGCGTACGTCAATTTTCAGTCATCATAATCTCGGCCGAGATGAGTTATCCCGTGGTCTCGTCCCTACGGCAATGGCCATTGGCCATTGGCCATTATTGAGATGATAAGTATGTCGAGTAAAGGTCACGTCTTACCCAGGCAAAGATGAAAGATGAAGAATCGTAGCAGTATCTACAGGCCGAATACACTTAGCACGGAAGATTCTCATGGAAGATTTTTCAGATGACGACCACTATTGCCTACCCCTCAAGCTGGATCAACTCTACCCAGCAGGGAGCGAGGACTAGACTCTGCTTCAGCCTCATCCATCTTGCGCGATGGAATTTGACTCCGCAGGACGCGCAGCCCGTCTTCAAGCCATTGAAATAAAGCAAGAAATCCCCACTTCGATCTTTCTGAACATGGAGGTGATCGACAATAAGGGCTGTAGTGGTATCCTTGCTCGCTGCAGTTCCGCTGGTAGTTGTGTGGGGTTGCCGTCCGGTTCTCCGCGGCTCTGCTCTGCTCGAGTCTGGGGCACAGATCCAAGCAACCACTCATTCATGCATCATCACAGAGGCCTGTGATGGATAACTAAATGTCGTGACAATGTGAACGAGCGAGTATTTATGTGTCAATCGCTGTGATATATTCTATTACTAGCTCCGTGATTCGGGTTTTGTTTCCAAACTTCACCACCATATCGTCAAACAAGTTAGTTAACACTTCTGTCTGGCACACACGCGGTTCGGTTTTACTTCATCAGAAATAAATCAAAGATCTGCTATTACTTTGGGCCGAATGTTTAATACCATCCTCCTTTTCCGACGCAGGGACTAATCCGGCACGTCGAGTCTAGTCATCTACCATGTCGCCTAGGTGGAGGTTGACCCAGCAAAGACCATTCCCTATAAAAGGTCTCATTGCGACGCAGCCCCTCCACGCACGCTCCAAAGCCGCATTCCTCCCGGCTTGGCAGCGGTTCGCTCCGGGATGTGGAGTGGAAGTATGGAAACATGTTTCTCTGACTGTGCAGTCGTTCCAATACAAAGAGGTATGTAGCCGACCGGTCGAGTGTATCTCCGATTGCTTGCGAGTCGGTGCGCCGATTTAATGTTGAATCTACGTGCGCTTTGAAAATTCCGGTCTTTTTGTGTATCATCGAACAAGTTGCGGGTGCTGGATATCACATTGTTGGAGGGTCAATATCATTCATACGTGCTCGTGAATCTCTGTTGCCTCACAAGCACACGTTGACAACAGAATTCTCGGTATCAAGGCGAGGTACTTGCAATGTTCTTCATTTGATAAAAGCTCGCGTCCCAGCTTTGCTTGTTGGTGTCAGATACGGTCCACACGGTGGGTTTTCAGCTGCTGGAAGATGGTATTTCTCTTGAGAGAAGGTTGAATCGTCGACGTGGAACGAGGAAAGCTGCTGGGACTATCTAAGAGATTATTAAAGGCGGTTTGTTTCACTGAATTGTTCTGATGTCAGAACTTCTTACGCCCAAAGTAATTAATCAAATGGTATTAGTAACTAGGCGCTTTCAGCAGCGGTTATCCCACACCTCTCTCTAGTCCTCCTTATGGTCCTATAGCCTTCTAGGACATCTAGCCGACCTGTTCCTTCTAGTTGTATTGTCCTGGACCCTGCCCTTCAGTACTTTCCGTGGCTCTCCTTGCAGGCATTCCTTGAGCTCGGTCCCAAACACCGCCAGATCTCCAATCAGCAACCATGATGATGAAACGGGACGCTGAACCGCAAGGGTCACCAAACAAGGAAGAAAGTTTCCCAGAATCAACTTATACCTTTTGCGTCTTCTTTCTCGTTTTATATTATTATTCTCACGGCGGATCTTCAGCAACACCTCTTCATCCTGAAATCTAAGCGACATATTACCTATATCAGTATTCACGTGCCACCAAATCTTCTCGGCGTTTCTTGAACAATTTACGACACTAACAAAAGTCGCACCACTAAACGATGCCAGCTAAAGAACACATTATTGCGTCTCAATGGACGCAAGCAAAGAGCAAGTCGCGTTCGGTGTTCGTTTCAGCCGAAGCATCATCGCCGAATATCTCGTTTACGCCCTGCCGTTCTATTCGACAACGGCTGTGATTGCCTTATTCATCTTTCTTCCTATAGATTGCCTCGGCGCCCTCTTACGCAGAGAGTCCAGTCGTTTGAACCTCGTTGACTTCCAGAATGACGCCTTCGTTCTTCCTATCAACAACTTCACGTTCACCACCTTCTCGTTGCCGACCAAGATTCTTCTTGTCGTACTGTGGGCACTTACAGCACGGCCGGCTGTTGTTCTCGCTTCAAGACTCAACTGGGTGTTTCCAAGCCATCCAGCTGATCCAGATCTGCACCGCCGAAAGACCAATGCTGATTATGCCAATAATGATAGAGATCAACAGGGCAATAAACGCAACAAGTAACGCGTTTCCCTCACTGCTTTGCCATTGAAGCCAACGTTCTATACTGTTTCTGGGCGGCCATTTCTCCAGAAGGCCGTGTAAGTCAGCGATTCTTTTAGCCCAGTAAATGTAGCGAAAGTCTTTTGGCAGCGTTTCGCCGTCGTAGCGTGCGCACTCTGGATCGAATGGGGTATCATGGTTGGCAATAAGCTTCTTGAGGATTCTCGCTGCTTTCTTGTTATGTGGTGGGAAAAGTACGGCCTGGATAGAGTGCAGCGTCTCGGCAAGCAACTGGGGCGGGAGTGTTCCTCTGGTTTGGTGTAAGTCATACAAACAAAACGTTGCACGTTGATTCTCGTTTGAAACCACTCACTTTTTGAGGCTCTCATCGATGGTCAACCCAAGGCTTTTCTGAATTGGCAAGTACAACCCCGCTTGCGTTTTCAAGAATTTGACATGGTGGAATATGAAGAGCACGTTCCGCCGACGGTCAAGGAGAAGATGCTTCGTGAGATCGTTCGTTGGCTGAAACTTGATACCCAGCCTTTTCCTGAGCTTCCATGCTTTCAGAGAAGCCTTGAAGTCTTTATTAATGGCCATTCCCATCCCTTCATTTTCTAGTTTGACGCCGAGTCCAAGTGAAAGTTTGACGAAATCGACAAATCGTTCCGTTGGTTGCCACGACACAGGTTTGTAGGTCCCCAGGCTATAGTCAGCTGCGTGTGAGCTCTGTGCCGAACAGTCCACCATGATAGTACAATGAACGGCCAAGTTGAGGACCTTTTCGACTTCGGTACTTGCTACTTGGCTACCAGTGGCCACTTGACGCAGTAAAGCTCGATGAGCTCCTTGTCTTGTCAGCTGAGGATCATGCTTCAATAGATTGACAGCTTGAGCCAGGTGGTCGTGAGTCGGTGTAGCAGAAGCAGAAGTGGGCGGTATCGCAATCACTACATCGCCTCCCTTATTAGTCAGTTCATCGTATAGTTGGAAAAAAGCTTTGAAGTCATCGGCTGAAAGATTCGATATCCCAAATACACCCCTGAGAATATTGTGTCTTTCTTCTCTAGTTGTACTCCTCCTCATGCTGCGGTGTGTCATTGGTGGTCATGTAGCTGTGAAGAAGACAAAAGTGTGCTTTCTTCTTTCATATGATATGGATGCGGTCTAATATTAGTAGCTGACAGATGCCCTACCCCATTGGCTGATTGGCTGCAGAATATTTCTCGCTCATTGGTCTTATCCAACAACCCATCGAGTCAACCTTGAGTCGAGGCAGTGTTTGGTATGCATGCTGCATTCATGCCTTAGGCCCACCGACTACACCACTGTAATCTCAGCCCGATGGGCAGAATTATCCAGGTCAGGTCTGTTGCCCCTCTCCTATTTCTTCTTCGTTCTCGATGACAAAAGCCGAAGACTGTGCATAATCGATGACCTCGAAAATATCACGCATCAGGGAATCAATGGCCGAGACAATCTATGAGATACCAAGGGAACCCCCTTCAAGGCTTCCCGAAACTACGGGGTAAGGAAGCATCTCCTGTACTGATACCGAGAGCCTTGCGATCTTACCAAATCCGACAGGCAAGGAGCATCGATCCAGACCTCTTTCCAACAGAAGCACGACAAGATACCTCACATCAGCTCTCCTCAAATATCCAAGAACAAACAAGTGGCAGCCAATTGTACGAACACTTTCAGACAGGGCGAGCACTCAACGACAACCATCGATACCTCGATCGGCCACGATGATAGACATGAACAATTGCAGCATACTAGGCGACGAAGAGCCGACTCCGAGCTCGATGATGAAAAGGCAGCGGCAGACCTAGGCGGCGACAGGAAACGGATGAAGTTGCCACAGACCCAAGAAACAAAGATCCAGGCAAGCAACCAGTCTTTGCTAGATCATGCCAATGAATCTTCGATACTTCAGGCGTCGTCAACAGCAAGGCCAGATACCGGCATTCCTATCCCAGACAGCAAGACGAAGAAGTATTGGCCCCTCGAAGTTCTGCGCCATCCCTCACTCTCAGCAATCGAACTCAACAGCTACAAAGAAGGGGTCATTGGAAGATTGAAAGAAGCTGTGGACGATCACAATATCTTACAGGACCGTGCACAGTTCATCGATTACAAGGCAGGCATGGTTGGCCCTGCCCCAAACCAATCTTGGGCATCGATTCTGTTGTTTTGCCAGAAGAAGGACCAGAAGCATATAAAGAAGCTTCTAGACCATGACTTTTTGACACGGATTAACTGCTGTAGTCCCTACCGACCGAAGTTTCTCCCATGGGCTCTTTTGCCCAGCGATCCCATGTTTTGGATATACATCTTTGCTTCCCGCTCCAACCCAACAAATCGATTTGCAGCATCAGAAACTGTGGTCATCTCTTTCCATACGGGATCAATGCCGGGCTTTTGCGGGGCATTGGCTAAGCATCAAGGGCGAGTGGCAACTGTTGGCCTGACGGTAGAGATTGATGGCATTGATCGACTCCTTACAGTCGATCACATTTTCAATGAAGAGCCATATGAAGACCCCTCCTCGTATGTATTGGCCTCCCTTTGGAGTCATCCCTTCCAGACGTACATTTCTGGCTAGTCGCCGTGTTGTCCATGGAGTTCATGATGTCTCACTTTCGTCCAAGTACGCAACCAGGTTCTTACATATACTTGCAGGGACGGTGACAGCGACGATGAGAGTTCGTGGGACTACGATAGTGGCAACGAAGATGATGATTTGCTCTCTGAGACTCACTCTGATTTGAATCAGAGCGATCCTCGCCTCACGCCGATCAGAGATTTTCATGATGAAGAGGAGAAAGCTTCTCCAGATTCTACGACATCCCCTGAACCTACCACGCTAGATGACACACAGACGCATGTGTCAGATGTTGGACATCAAAATGCCGCCCAGGAGCAAGATACGGCAAATAGTTTGACAGAAGTCCTCGTCTATACAAAAGCCTCAGCACACAAAGTCCAACGCCCCAACAAATTGAACGAATTACCCGAGCATGCGTATCTCGACTGGGCATGTCTTGAGTTGGACGGGAAGACAGTGGAGAGACGCTCGCAGAGCTACATCTTGGGTCCAGATAAAAGTCCGATCCGGCTCCAAGAGATTGGAGACGTGCCAACATCACATACGACGTCAGTCCTAATGATATCCGGGATTAACGGAGCCAGGACTGGAATACTACTGGCCGGACAAGGCTACTTGGGATCCCGGCAGGGTGAAAAGATGTGTCAGATGTGGACACTGGTTCTAGATTCTCAACCAGGTACATGAGTCCCTTTACAACGTTCTGAAATATTGATATAACTTGACTCTGTGCTAATGATACGAAAGGTCTCGTCCCCGGCGAATGTGGCTCCGTTGTTGTTGACCAAGATACACATAAGGTCTACGGGCATGTCGTAGGCTCAAATTTGCTGGGCCATGCTCACGTGGTCTCAATGCGAGAAGTTCTTGACCAGATAAAGATTGCTTTCAGCACAGATCTGGTTTACTTCCCTTCCAGGCTTTCGCCACCGGCCTCGCCTCAATCGCTGAGCTCGGATGATGGTCTGATGATCCAGGCTCCCCTGACCGATACGTACAATTCGGGACTCGTCGCAGTAGAGTCCATGCCCAGTTTCCTCATAACGCCACCCCAGGACGATGATTCTATGGTTTATACACATGGAGACCCCACCGAGGTCGGCACATTCGAGCCAATATTTTCGGATACCTATTCCCGGAGCTATCTTGAGGCGGCGCCTGATCCTTTTCGTGATGTCGACTGGGATGACTTCGTTTCTACGGAATTTAGCCACATGGTCCCCCAAACAACTTATGAACGCCCCGGATCCAGCGCAGTCAAGAGATCTCGCAGGTATGATAGACACTACCAGTTGCACGCCCTATTTAACTAGTGTTACAGTCCAACCGACGACAAGAATGATCAAGAGAAGAAACGCACGAAGGGGAGTCGAAGTCATCACAGTAGTAATGCGGCACTCCGGTCCACAGGACAGACCGAGTTCAAAGGTGAACAAGGACAAAGATAGTACAAGTTTACGGCCCTGCTATTGTTTCTTTCGGGTCGGCGCTGCATTTATCGCTGCGCTTGTCTTCTGTATTCTCTTCTTCTAAGGTCTGCGCAAGTGCGTCTCCTTTTTATCCAATACATTTGCAGTTTCAATTTGGTTAAAGACGGTAGTAAGCTGCAGACAGTACATGGAAATAACGATGACGACAATAACAACAACGACGAAGACGATAATAACAATAACGACAATAATGACGACGATGATGACGACGATGATGACGACGACGACGACGAAAACGACAATAGCAATGATAAACACGATAATCGCCTTGGTTAAGGAGTTGGATAGCGTAATAGGGATCAGGGGCAGGCGACAAACTGTCGTACGCTTCATAATAACCGCTCTGCGCCTGCAATCAGATAATGATGTTTATACCTCTAAACCCCGCCCTATCTATATGATAAACTCCTTGTAACATCTGGAAATTTGAGCTCCAGTCCCGTACTAATGACTCTTCACCTTTCTAAGGGGAGCAGTGACCGAGAACGAGACGATGCTATACTCCTTTCTCTCAGCATCCCTCTCCGCCTCCTGTTTGTCCGCCAAATTCTTCTCCTCGGCGGCCTTCTCCTCAATCTTCCGCTTCGCTTCCTCCTCGGCCTTGCGCTTCTTCTCATCCTTCTCGTCGTCCTTGATCTCCTTGAGGACGTTACCGTTGCCGTCGAGCTCGACGACGACGTCCCGTGTGTCCAGGCTGCCATCCTCGGTGTATATCCACATCTCCTTGAGTTCGCCACGAACCAAGCCCGTGAGCCAGAGAGAGCCGAGGACGCCTGGAACGAGGTACAGTAGGGCGGGCTGGCCGTGCTTGAAAATGGTCAACATGGCGAGTGTGAAGAGCATGCCGAGGGCGTAGCCGATCAAAGAAGCGTTGAAGTAAGTCTTGTTGAATGTCGACCCACGAACAGTCGGTGCGACCTCCTTGTCGCCCTTGAAAAGGCCACTCCAAGAGGAAGACCAGAACCAGTCGCCCCAGCAGCCAGCGATGTCAATCCAAGGGGCCTTCTGAGCAACATGCTGAGTCTCGCTGACGGTGACGACATCGCCAGATTTGGTGTCCTGCTTGTGTGACTTCAAATCGGTCGGGACATACTTGATCTGGCGCTGATAGTGCATCCACATATCAAAGCGCAGCGCCAGGCACATCACCATGCCGGGGACGACAATGTCACCGAGGCCGAGAATGCTTGATCTAGAAGCGGATTGGAACTGGAGTTTGATGGGAACATCGAGCTTGGTGGCGACAGTAATCATATAGGGCCTGTTGGGTGTTAGCAGATGTTCGATGCAAATTAAAGCCTGGGTAACTTACGTGTAGAACACCATGACAATGTCGTAGAAGAAGAGGCCCATCAAGACCAAGCTTCCGGTGCCAAATGTCGTCGGCGACATGATCAGAGCCGTGCCGTAGCAGAAGCCATAACCCATGATGTTGGAGAGAAAGGGGGACCCGGTCATGTAGTAAGCCGAGACCGTGCCAAAAGCCAGGAAGAAACCAAGAATGTGCGTGACGGACAGGTGAAATTTCTCCCTAAACAAGCCATGCACCTTGGCCTTGACGGTCCATTCGTCGATCAGGAGATGACGGACATCCCAGAGGAGGCGATTAACCTTTGCTGTAACGGGGAAGATCTTGCGCAGGGCGGATG